TTTTTTTTTAACTGAATGCGAATTTTTCAATTTTTTATCCCAAGTAGTATAGGGTGTTTCCTTAACTTCTATGAAATGAAACACTTTTTTTACCAAGTGTTTTTATTTTATTTTTAAATTGATCAAATGAGGCACAAGCAGAGCTATGTCTTGCTTGGCTGGTGAGTTACAGAAGACTAAATTCTAGAGACACATTTTTCCCTAGCTTAACTTATTGTTTTTCTTATCAATATTCTGCAAAATAGTGGGGAAGGCATATTGACCAATGAAATGAGATAAGTAGGTAAAAAGGGACGGGTTTGCACTTGACAAGGTATTGGGAATGTGAACCATCAATTCGGCTTAAAGTTCCGAATGGTATGGAAGGTAGACGAAAGAAAATATTAGCATATGCTAATTGTTTTGAGTGCACATTTTGAGCACAAAGTGGCGCCATAATGTCGGGTAAGTCGGGAATTACCAAAAAGAGGAAGTCAGTTTATAACGAAAATGCATCAATTTTATTGCCCAACGTGGTACGTAGCTGAACTGCGCACGCATGTTTGTTGATGTTATACTGTATGGGGGAATTCCAAATGCAATCAGGAGATGAAAAAGACAAGAAAAGTAGAAACGAGACGAAAATAATAAAAATTATTGAGGATGCAGACAAATATTGAAGTCTGCAACAAAAACAGAAATGCACTTTTGGTGCTGGACGCATATTCCTGCGAGACGGTACCAAATATAGTCATAAAGCAGTTCGGTACAAAATATGAATCGTGTAGTCAATTGAACGAAATGGCAGTGCCGATATTGCTACAGTAGAATACTTGAAAAATCACAATATTTGAGAATTCGACTAACGGTTTACTTGACCTGCTCACTGCAACGCAAATGATGATGTACTGTCCATATATCGGAAAATGAAACAAACAACGACGAGTCACAGTGTGAAATAGAACACATTGTCCTGTACGAAGTACACAGAGAAAACACAACCTCTAAATGTCATCGCAAACCGGGATAAACCATTTATTTAATGGTGCTGACATCTACTTTTGCGATAAATTCTATCGCATTTGTGTATGTAGTGTTTATCCCGGTTTGCGATAGGGTTTAACGAAATGTCAAAAATTTCTTTTCTGTGTGTATGACTTACAATGCATCGTTTATTGATTTCTTTTCAAAATAGCCTTTTTGAAGTATTCATTGCTATTGACAATGAATCAACGGCAATTTTCTGTTGCCGAATGTAAGCCGCATCATTCAAATATCAAACTGATTTCTTTTGGACGAGACACCGTATGAAACGTTTTTTAATTTGTAGGTGGATAATATGCAGCGTATTTTTCATACCGCATTTCTACCATCGTTTTGTACGGCTGATTGGAGATCAAAACGAAACAATCTTATTGAAGAAGGAAAAGTGTACCCGAAATGGTCGGTTTGTGGACAGCAAGCCTCGAAAAATCATTTTGAATCTTATCGATAAATGTTTCTGAAAATGCTTCTTGGATGAAAAAAGTCATCGCCCATTGTAACAATCGCGTATTTAGAAGTTAAAGTGACAATTTCTAAGCAAAGTTTTTACATCGATGTAAATAGTTTGGTCGAAGCTGGAAATATTTTCCATTTTTTCAGTTACGGCGTTTCGATACTCTCCATTCCTTCGTCACATATATTCGAAAGCGTTCTTGAAATTCAACACCAAGAAGGTGAAAATAAAATTTGCGGCTGGATAATGAAGAAATGCAGACAAAATCTTATTGAACTGTACATAGACGTAGTGAATCGGACACAAAGGATTCCCGATTTTTTTCTCCCTATTTGATAGACCAATATTGGACCATATGTTATTGTGATTGGAAATCGGAGCAAAATTTCATGATAAAGCGAAGTGCGTCACACATCAATAATATGAACTGTACATAAGTATCTAGGGGAATATCACGCAAGTTTTATTCGCAAAACTTATTTCTATCTCATTTATTTCATTAAAATCTAATGAAGTCCAAGTTATTTCAAATATTTCGCAAAATCTGTATTATTCACTCATATTCACGTCATTACTGCTCCAAAAATGCTGGAAGTGGGTTTTGGTGGATCCTCAGGATCGTTTAGTACTGCTCCCGGTTCTGGAAGTGGATCCTCAGGATGGGCCAGGGCATTGTCAAACCCAGTCTGGTCCATCCTGAGGATCCGCCAAAACCCACTTCCAGCATTTAAATATCTGCAAAAATCGACCAAAATGAAAAAAAATCTCAGATATCTCGCATAATGTAATATAATTGAAATAAATTTTAAAAAAATGCAAAAATCAATAGAAATTCAATAGAATTTTTTGCGTGATATTCCCCTAGATATGTATTTCCGTAAGCTGAGCAAGTTATCAGTATACTGTTGTTATGAATGTATTATCCAGGAAAACATTCTGCGCAAATGTTCAACTAGGTTGAAGAAAACTGCAATCATATCGAAGTCATACAATTGGTGTTATAGAGATTTGTCGAGGAACTCTTATATTTTCGTCAAAAATATTTTAGCAAGTCACAATATTTTACGTTAAGCTCAACTCTAAACACGAATATTCTTATTGACTGGTTAAAAAAATCATAACAAAATAAAAATGAATCCGTTGGCCGTTGCTACAATAATTAGTTTTTTTATTTAAATAATATCAACTTTTATGGATTACAAGCATAACAAAGAGTGTACTTTTGAATCGCAAAGTAGGCATAATTGTCAACTAATTACATTTCTGTGTTGAACTTCAAACATTATTTTGACTCAGTAAACTCAAAAAGTTATATAATAATAGTATATTTGAAACACAAAGATTGACATATAAATTTGCAATACAAAGAATGTGTGATAGTTCTTGTGACTAGATATTTGCATTTTGTTTATTCTTTGCATATTTCATAACCGTTTGTGATTCAATAAATTATTAAAGCGTTTATATGTATTACTGACCCTCTTTAAAGTTGCACAAAATGGGCTATGTTAATAATATATTATTAACTGTGCAACTATAACCCTCTTATATAAAACTATGGTCATTCGACTACTAGTTGATTATTTGAGAATTGCACACAACTTGACACAAATTTTTTTTGAGTCAAAAATTCTGACTATGGTTAACTGAAATGTTTCGGTTTTCTACTGAACTATCTAACTGTGCACCAGAAATAGCATTCTGATTATATAAGTTATTGAAAATGTTACAATATATTTTCAAATAGATCTTATGCGATAGATTAGTCTTAAAGCTTTGTGTTTGGCAGAATTAAGAAAAATGTTTAACTAAAATATGTTTTAAGAATATTTGATCTGTTCGAAAAAAAATGTCCCACATGCATACTGCTAGCATAGTTGCAAACTAAAAATTTAGCCACTGTGTTCTTTGAATAATTCGATGGCCATTTCCTTGGCCTTCCTTCTCAGCACTTTCCCAGAGAGAGTTGTTGGCAACGAATCGACAAAATAGACGCCTCCTCGAAGGTGGTAATAGTCCGCAAAATGTTCTGAAAATACGAGAAAGCAAAACAATATCACGGAATTGATTAAAACTGTTGAAATTCTTCTAAAGCTACCTGCGACCATATCATAAACTTCTTCTCCAGAAATATTCGATCCATCAGCGCGCACAATAACCGCAGCCGGTAAGTCAGGGCCCAATTCATCGGGTATGCCAACAACGCATGACGACTTTATGTCTGGCGATTCAATCAAGAAAGCATCCATTTCCGAAGGAGAAATTTGGAAACCACGATATTTCATGAGGTCTTTCTTTCGATCGATAATATACAAATTTCCATCATCATCGAAGTGGCCAATGTCACCAGACATAATGAAACCTTCATCATCATATAGCTCATCGGTTGCTTGCTTATTGCCATAATATCCAAGGAATTTGAAGTTCTGTTGTAAGCATATCTCACCATCAACATTTGGCCCGCATCGATTGCCTTGATCGTCAACAATTTTCATTTTAACTCCAGAAAGCAACTGGCCAACACCATCGCTGCCACTTGAATGAGGATTTTCACCACAAATGACGCCACAAGTTTCGCTCATGCCATAGAAAGAACCAGCACTTCCGTTCGGTAGGTGAGAGTTTATTTCGTTTTTAACATGAAGTGGAAATTTGCTTCCTGCAACCGTTTGTACTCTTAGATTGGATAAATCAGTTTCAGCAAATTTTTCACTTTTCATCATCAAAATTATGTGATATGGTGCACAGAGCGCCCATGTCACTTTATATTTTTCATATAAGGCAAGTTGTAGTTCCGGTGAATGAATTTCCGTTGTTATAATTCGAGTTGCACCAGACATGGTACCCTTCAATAATGTCACAAAACCAGTTATCCAATAAAGTGAACTAAAGCAAAGCATAACGTCGCTGGAAATGGTCGTACCGAGCTTCACCATTCCATCAATTACTGCCGCATGCGATAGGCACACGCCTGTGTTTAAAATGGAAAATTGGAAAGTCATTATCACATTGCCTCCAATGACTTGACTTGAAAGTGCTAAGACTTAAGTTAACATGATAGCTTCGAAATATAGAAAAAAAATTGCATCACCTTTCGACAGTCCAGTAGTACCACTAGAGCAAACGATCAAAGCAGTGTCGTTGACCGCATCGACTTCGACAGGCCTATTTTTTACGAAAATCAAAATCATTTTCCAGAAGAACGTTTCTGTTGGAAATTCTAAAACCTTGAACTTTACTCACATGAAGCTGCTTTCCGTGCCAGTTTCGGCAAATAAATTTTCAACCGGTTCCGACTCACCGTCACTGCCGCCAAACGTGAATATTTTTGCATCATTTTGCAATTGCACCAAACATTCCTTCACCAATTCGTAGGATTCAACGTCGCAAAACATTAAATCTGGTTTTGTAGTTCCCAGCATATGAAGAAGCTCCGTCTTCCCAAACGAGGGATCGAGCGAATTGACCGAGCACCCAATACTTATTGCACCAAACACAGTTGGAGCGACATGATGTGAATTTCTTATCATGAACGCGAACACCTGTTTCGGTTGATATCCAAGCTCTTGAAGGTTTTGCGCGGCACGGATCGTTTTAAGGCGAATTTCATCGAAGGTCATCTCGATTCCATTATTATCACTAATCTAGAACGAAGAAATATTTGAAAAAGAAAACAATAAATCACTTGATTTGATCATTTGTGCTCAATATTCGAAATTTGAATGCTGATAAATCCAATATATTCGGATAAAAATGAATATACTTGAGCTATTTTTGGTGCATGCAGTTCCATTGCACTGAACAGTACTTGGGCCAATGAAATCTCTGGGTTGTATAACGGTTTATCACCCCGACCACTCCACAGTTTATTTTCTTCATCGTATTTCGTTATATACATTTTTTTT